ACCTAGAGCCAGACATCCTGGAATGCAAAGTCAAGTGGGCTTTAGGAAGCATGACTACAAGCAAAGCTAGTGGAGGTGATGGAATTCCAGTTCCCGCGACTTAATTGAACTGATGAGAAATGATCTTCCTCCATGGGTAACTTTAGCTCAAGGACTCCCCATCAGCTTTGCAGACACTCTCTAAAACTGCACTGCAGCCTAAAACTTCCTTCCTTCTCTTTCTTTTTCACTTGGGTCAGATATGCCTTGTGGTCTGAGGACCTTCCCAGGCTCCTCCCACTCCTGCCCCACTTTCCTAAACAGGCATTCTCCCAGTAAATGTCTTGTATGTCTAGTGCCATCTTGGCTGCATCTGAAGGATGAAAAGTATCATATCAGACAAGAAACCTTGCAGTCAAATCCTTTTTTATTCTTCTCCCATATTTAGTCAGTAACATGTTCCTATGAGTCTTTTGTTTTATCCTTTCCCTCCCTTCCAATATGTAATGTTTTTTGCATCACTTTCTCTTTTATTTCTGTTTTCTTCACTAGTCAACTCAAATCTGAAGATGAATGCTGATGTTAGCTATTGTTACGCGGTACTTATTATATGACAGACTCTCTGCTATATACTTTACACATACCACATTTGATTCATATAATAACCCTGCCAGGTCAACATTCAGTTCAGTTCAGTCGCTCAGTCGTGTCCGACTCTTTGCGACCCCATGGTCTGCAGCACACCAGGCTTCCCTGTCCGTCACCAACTCCCAGAACTTGCTCAAACTCATGTCCATTGAGTCGGTGATGCCATCCAACCATCTCATCCTCTGTCGTCCCCTTCTCCTGCCTTCAATCTTTTCCAGCATCAGGGTCTTTTCCAATGAGTCAGTTCTTTGCATCAGGTGGCCAAAGTATTGGAGTTTCAGCTTTAGCATCAGTCCTTCCAATGAATATTCAGGACTGATTTCCTTTAGGATTGACTGGTTGGATCTTCTTGCAGTCCAAGGGATTCTCAAGAGTCTTCTCCAACACTACAGTTCAAAACCATCAATTCTTTGGCACTCAGCTTTCTATAGTCCAACTCCCACATCCATACATGACTGCTGGTAAAACCATAGCTTTGACTAGATGGACCTTTGTTTGTCTCTGTTTTTTAATATGCTGTCTAGGTTGGTCATAGTTTTTCTTCCAAGGAGTAAGCGTCTTTTAATTTCATGGCTGCAGTCACCATCTGCAGTGATTTTGGAGCCCAAGAAAATAAAAGTCTGTCACTGTTTCCACTGTTTCCTCATCTATTTGCCATCAAGTGATGGGACCGGATGCCATGATCTTTGTTTTTTGAATGTTGTGTTTTAGGTCAGCTTTTTCACTGACCTCTTTTTCACTCCTCTTTCACTTTCATCAAGAGGCTCTTTAGTTCCTCTTCACTTTCTGCCATAAGGGTGGTATCATCTGCGTATCTGAGGTTATTGATATTTCTCCTGGCAATCTTGATTCCAGCTTATGCTTCATCGAGCCTGGCATTTCACATGATGTACTCTATATATAAGTTAAACAAACAGGGTGACAATATACTGCCTTGACATACTCCTTTCCCAATTTGGAACCAGTCTGTTGTTCCACATCCGGTTCTAACTGTTGCTTCTTGACCTGCATACAGATTTCTCAGGAGGTAGGTAAGGTGGTCTGGTATTCCTACCTCTTAAGAATTTTCCACAGTTTCTTGTGATCCACACAGTCAAAGGCTTTGGTGTGATCAATAAAGCAGAAGTAGATGTTTTTCTGGAATTCTCTTGCTTTTTCTATGATTCAGTGGATTTTGGCAATTTGATCTCTGGTTCCTCTGTCTTTTCTAAATCCTGCTTGAACATCTGGAACTTCACAGTTCATATACTGTTGAAGCCTGGCTTGGAGAATTTTGAGCATTACTTTGCTAGCGTGTGAGATGAGTGCAATTGTATGGTAGAGTGAACATTCTTTGGCATTGCCCTTCTTTGTGACTGGAATGAAAACTGACCTTTTCCAGTCCTGTGGCCACTGCTGAGTTTTCCCAGTTTGCTGGCATATTGAGTGCAGGTCAACATTATTCCACTTGATAGATGAAAAACCCGAGACTTCCAGTGATGATAAAAAAAAAAGGTACCCAAAGTCATATAACTAGTAAGAGGTGGATCTAGTGTAGTCCTTGACTGTAGAAATACCTGATTTTATAGAACCCAATGGCAGTAATAGTAATAATAGCATTTAATAGTTATGGAACATGTCCTCAGCGTGTGGCATTTTACTAAGGGTTTAACTGAATAGTACGTTAAATCTTTGAAACAATGACATGAAGCAGAGACTTTTTAGTACGATTTCAGTTGAGGACTCTGAGGCTCAGTGAAGTTAGGACTCTCATGCAAGAATTTATAATTGTAAATGGTTACCTTAAAAAAGAAGAAAGATCTCAAATCAACAACCAAATGTTACAACTGAAGGAACTAGCAAAAGAACAAACCATACCATAAGCTAGCAGAAGGAAAGACAAAATAACAGAGTGGAGATAAATAAAATAGAGAATGGAAAAGTAATAGAGAAAAAACAATAAAACAAGAAATTGGCTCTTCAGAAAAGAATAAGAAAGGCTTCCCTGGTGGCTCAGTGGTAAAGAACTTGTCTGCCAATTCAAGAGACATCGGTGTGACCCTTGATCTGGGAAGATCCCACACGCCGCAGAGCAGCTGAGCCTGCGCTCCACAACTACTGAGCCTGTGCTCTAGAGCCAGAGAGATGCAGTTACTGAGCCCACGGGCTGCAACTACTGAAGTCTGTAGGCCCTAGAGCCCATTCTCCAGAACAAGAGAAGCCACCGCAATGAGACTCCCGTGCACTGCAACTGGAGAGTAAACCCCACTCACCACAGCTCGAGAAAAGCCAGCACAGCAATGAAGATCCAGCACAGCAAAGAAAATAAATAATTGGGGACAAACGATGAACAATTTTGACAAAACTTTAACTAGACTGATCAAGAAAAACAGGGAAGATTCAGATTACTAAAATCAGGAAGGAAAGTGGGCACATTGCTACTAATTCTCAAGAAATGATGAGTTATAGGAGTATTATGAATAACTGCATGCCAACAAATTGCATAACTTCAATAAAATGGACAAATTCCTAGAAACACAGATGCTACCAAAGTGGAATCACAAAGACTGCGACCTCATGGACTGTAGCCCGCCAGGCTCCTCTGTCCATGGACTTCTCCAGGCAAGAATACTGGAGTGGATTGCCATGCCCTTCTTCAGGAGAATCTTCCTGACCCAGGGATTGAACCTGTGTCTCTTACATTTCCTGCCTTGGCAGACAGGTTCTTTACTACTCACGCTACCTGGGAAGCTCCAGTGTTATAGAGGCCATATATTAAAACCTGCATCTAACACCATTCTAAGGGTGAAAGACTGAAAGTTTTCCCTCTAAGATCAAGAACAAGATAAGGATGCCTGCTTTTGCCACTTCTATTCAAAACAATATTAAAAGAAATAGATAGGACTTCCCTGGTGGCTTAGTGGTAAAGAGTCCACCTGCCAATGCAGGAGACATGGGTTTCACCCCAGTCTGAGAAGATCCCATATTCAATAGAGTAATTAAGCCTATGAGAAAAAGTCCACACAGCTACAAAGACCCAGCCCGGCCAAAAATAAATTAAAAAATTATTTTTAAAATTAATTAATAAAAAATGCCCATTGCATTAAGAACCTATACCAGGTATCTCATTTAATTCCAATAAAACTTTGTGAACTACAAAAAATAACATTTAAAAAAAGTAATAGACCAATTCAGTGCCAAAGAAAGAAAAAAGAAAAGATACTGAAATTGTAAATTAAGAAACAAAATTAACTGTTTGCAGAGGATGTGGCCTTATATATTAACAGAAAACCCTAATTTCACAAAAAACTGTTAGGTCTAATAAACAAATTTGATAGAGCTGCAGGATATGAAACCAACACATAAATGCAGTTGTATTTCTATATATGAACAGTGAACAATATGAAAAGAAACTTTTAAAACTTCCCTTTATATATTGTATGAATGAGATAAGGCTAACACTCCCCTTGACAAAAATGGCAGAGGCCTTTGGATCTGACAATATGCATACAGTTAAGGTATTGCTACCTGAATCATAGTATCTAACCATCATTTTTATAAAAATAAATTCCACTTATAACAGCATCAATAAGAATAAAATTTAGGAATTTTGGAGCTGACAGACTTGTATAAGAGAAACTAAAAAAAATTTTTTTCAAAGGAAAAACATAGTATAAGAAATTAAAGAAGACATGAATGAATGAAAAGTGTTCATGGACTGGAAGCCTTAATATTGCTTAGATGACAGTACTAAGCAAGGTGTACTGGATAGATGTGGATAATGACTGCAAAATAATATGAATGGACTTAATACCACTGGGCTATAAACTTCAAAATTATTTACATGATAAATCTTACTTTTTTTTTTTTTACCTTATAAAGAGTGTACCAGGAAAAAAAATCTTGTGTAAGGTCACAGAGTAAATGCCAGCCCCAGGATTAGAAACTTACTGTATCTTTTTTTCTGTGTGTGTGTGTGTGTGTCTGTGTGTGTGTGTTAGTCGCTCAGTCCTGTCCAACTCTTTGCGACCCCCTGGACTGTAGCCCACCAGGCTCCTCTGTCCATGGAATTCTCTAGGCAAGGATATTGGAGTGGGTAGCCATTCCCTTCTCCAGGGGAATCTTCCCAACTCAGGGATCAAACTTGGATCTCCTATATTGCAGGCAGATTCTTCATCCTCTGAGCCACCAGGGAAGCCCCTCCACCTTTTTTTTCAGAGATGGAGCTATTAAGATTTTGCTGGCTTTTTATTGTAACGGTCTCCTCACTGATATTCTGCCTGCTGTGACCTCAAGCCATCGTGCCTCCCGTTGGTGGAGCCATCCTGCTGGGAAGGTGGAACACAGGACACGCAGTCACTTACATTTCTTCGCCTTCAGCTCAAAGATCCCACTTCTGTTGGAAGTGCCTATGTTGAAGATCTCACACTGATACTTCCCGGCATTCTCCTTCTTGATGGGGTCTATGGTGAGCTTCTTCCCGTCCTTGGACAGGAAGATGTTCTTTGCGGCTTTTATATACTGGCCGTTGAAGATCCACTTGATGCTGATGTCAGTTTCGTTTGTGTTACAGGTAATGACCACCTTGTTCTCTTTATCTCTGTCCATGGGGTCGCTGACTTGGATGGAGGGCTGCTGCAGCAGGCCTGTGGAGAGAACAGAGGAGGTGACTGAGACGAGGTCAGTGGCCTGGGGCCATGCTCCTTCCTCGGGTGTCTTAGCCACTACCGGGGCCCAGTGAGCTCTGTAAAGGCAACCCCGAGCAGGACCCTGAGCCTGTGAACAAGGTCGTGGGTCTCTCTTCAAGAGAGGATGTGTAAGGAGAAGGCTCCCTTTCCTCCCTCACCCCAACAATACCTGGATGACCCTGACCCGTCCATGAGACATCTCTGTAGTACGTTCTCAACCCGTGTATACAGCATCCTCAGCCTGAAGTGAAATTTTTCCTGTGAACTTTGATGGACCCTTTCCTAGAACTTCCTTTGGTTCTAAAAAGTTTCAGGTCTCATTCGTTATATACCCTTCTGTGTATGTTACGGAAGACAGTTGTGCCACACCTGTGTTTCTGTGGGGCTGAGGGAACTTTACACAAAGCAGGAAAGGCAATTATTTCTTTTTAAAAAATTTATTACTGGCTTTCCTGGAGGCTCAGAGGTAAAAGATCCGCCTGCCAATACAGAAGACATGGGTTCGAGCCCTAGGTTGGGAAGATCCCCTGGAGAAGGGCATGGCAACCCACTCCAGTGTTCTTGCCTGGGAAATCCCATGGACAGAGAAGCCTGCAGGGTTATGGTCCACGGAGTCACAAAGAGTCAGACCTGACTGAGCAACTAAGAAACAACAACAAAATAATTTATTAGGGAATGAGGATGACCATGTCCAGTCTCCTAGTCTAGATATATATAGTGACAGTGACCCTCTGAGCTTTGTACAATCTTGTTGGAAAGATTTCCAACCACAACCACCCCTCATTTTCCATCACTCTGCGTCTGAGACATTAATGTGTTACTCCCATCATAAAATGATGACAGCAGAAGCTCATTCTCCTGGTGACCTGGGGAAAGTGGCTCGTGCTGGAGCCCCACAGAGGCTGCTGCTCCCAGATTTCTGAGTCCTTTACTATCGCCTAGGAGGGTGTGCCTGGCCACAAGCCAGGCTGGGAACAGGGTAGTCAGTCAATTGGGGAAATATCTGTGGAAGGCTTAAGGGCAGGGGGTGGGGGCTTCCCTGATGGCTCAGCTGGTAAAGAGCCTGCCTGCCAATGCAGGAGACATAAGAGATGTGAGTTCGATTCCTGGGTTGGGAAGATTCCCTGGAGAAGGAAACTGCTCTAGTATTTGTGCCTAGAGAATCCCATGGACAGAAGAGCGTGGCGGGCTACGGTCCATCGGGTCATGAAGAGTTAGACATGACTGAGCGCACATGTTTGCATCTAAGGGCAGGGAAGCTGTGCAGAGCAGGGCCAGTCCTTGATGGAATGAAGGAGAAAGAAGGTGAGACACATGGAAAGAGCAGAAAGCGAGAAATGTCCATTTACAAGCGACTTCAAAGTGGGGGTTTCAAGTGACTTCAAACATCCAGAGGTCCAAGAGCCCCACCACTGCCCAGAAGCAGGCCCCCTGCCCCCCACCCCTGGAAACCCTCCCACGGCACAGCAGCCCCACAGCCGCGGTGAGACTCGGCTCCCAGTGCACTTTAGGGGCAGGTAGTCAGAGGATAAACATGGCTCCCCTCCCTGGAGAGACAGGCGGCAGGTGTGGCCAGAGCATCCTAGGACTCTGCATCCAGAGAAACCGTGGCCTCAGGGAGCTGGGAATCATCCGCCCCAGTTAGCCCTGCCTGGGAGGCCAACACCCACCGGCGGCACGGTTCTCCGTGGTCGCTGGAGCCGGTACCCTGGGACAGGGTCTGGGGAGGGGCTTCCCCGTGGGCCTGAGCTTCTCTGTGAGGATCCCTCAGGCCAGGCCCCTACTGAGTCCTGCAGGGTCTTCCTCAGGGTCATGGTTGCAGGGAGGGACCCAGGGGGGCTGGACTGAGAGTTCTCTCCCTCTGCTGAGTCCCTCCCATCAGACCGTCCTTCTTTCTGCACGGTGTCTGCAGGGTCCAGATCCCCTAAATGGAATTCTGACCCTTTGGAGTTTGTCTCCACAGTGTGTGTCCTGCACTAAATCTTCAAACCCCAACACGGCACATAATGTAGAGGGAGATGGAGGCACCATTTGGGTCTGTCAGTCCTGCGAGTGTGAACAGAAGTCACCTCACCCAACACCCTGAGGTCAGAGAGGAAGCACTCACTGTATACTTGGAGATCTCCAGATGCCGAAACGTTTGTTAAATCAGCCTTTACAGTGATCACAGTGTAGGTTCCCGAGTCCCGCTTCTGGACAGACTGGATTATCAGGGAGCCATTGGGTTTTATTGTCTCTCGACCGGTGTTTGCAGGCCCAGGTGTAAATGAATTGTTAAGTATTTGGTAGACGTCAATTGCAGCTGCTCTATCTACCCTGTTCCCTCTGAACCAGCCATAGCCTAGGACAAGCCCTTCTTTTCCGAGGATGTTGAAAACAACGACCGACCCTTCTGCAGCCAGTGGGGGCACCGTGTCAACAGTGAGGCGGGCAGTGGTGGGCGGGGGCCAGAAGGATAAGAGCGCGACTTGGAGGGAAGCAAGAGAAACAAGTTAATATTCTGGCCTGTGTGGGGGATGGGGAAATGGTGCCCTGGGTTCTGAGCAGCTCTCTTCATCCCTCAGCCTTGGGGGGGGGGGTGTGTGTGTGTGTGGTTCAAGGTCAGCAGCATGATCCCATCACTTCAGCCCCTCTGGGGTCGTTTTTTCCTCTGTTTCCCCAGCTGTCCCCCGGCTCACTCCCTCGCTGCCCTCACACACCTGCTCACAATCAGGGGCTCTTGGGAGCTGCCCCCCCCACCTGCTCTAAAGACCCTCCGTGTTCACTTGCTGACCCTTCCCTGTCTGTTTCCTGCATGACGCCTGTCAGCACCGACAGCACATTCTAGATCTCTCTGCTTGTCTGTCTTCCTCCCCACAGAGTGTGGGCTCCGTGAGGGCAGGGGCTTGTCTGATTTTCTTGTACCCAAATTCCTGGTGAAGGAACCTCTACAGCCTGGTGTTTGTCCTTTTAGGAGTTGTAGAAAAGGGTGTTGTCTAGTGTCCTGGTGTGTTCTTTCTGGAGTAACACCCAGACATAAATTGTTATTATTGCCATCAGTCTTCAACAGTTATTGCTCAGTGAAGAATAATTTCTTAAATAACTTGCAAAACCTACACCATTTGAGGTCTTCCCGCCCCTCACCAACTCTAGTTCATGGAGAGTCCCCTGTGGCTGAGCCCCCGCCTCCCCTGCTCCCCGCCCTCTGCCCTCAGGCCTGAACAGAAGTCCTCTGCCCCCTCTCAGAGCCCCGCCTCCCTCAGAGACCAGCCAGTCTCTTGTTTTCCAGTCTCTGCACACTCCCTGAAAATTGGCCCCTCTCACCTGCCAGGAGGAGCCTGTTCCAGGGGACATGCCTCCTCCTTGCAGGGCCTGACGGGGGCTCCATGGGGCCTGCTCTCTGCTGGCCCCTCTCTCTGTGAGGAGAACTTCCGGTCCAGAAACGCTCACAGGCCCTGCAGTCGCTGTGTGAGCTCTGCTGTCCTTCCCGCTGTGCGCTGGGCCTCCTCCCTGGGCAGGAGCACTTGGCTGGGTCACGTGGCCGGGGGGCGGGGCCTCTGCCCAGGCCCCTCCCACTGCCTCCCCGCTCATCCTTCCCTCCCTAGCGGCCCCGCCCCCTTCCCCTTCTGTCTGTTTCTATTCCCTGAGCTCTGCTGAGTCCTCTGCCTTCTAGAGTAGTGATTCTCCACCTACACACACACACACATCTACACACACACATACACACATACACACACCCCTACACACCCTTACACTCCTACACACACACACCCCTACACACACACTCCACATACCTATACACACACACACTTACACACACCCCTGCACACACATCCCTACACACACACACCCCTACACACACATCCCTACACACACACACCCCTACACACACACCCCTACACACACACTTGCGTGGACAAGCACAAACCTGGGGTGTCCAGTTCCAGGGTCCCCACTCCTCTGGACCAGATGCACACTCAGCCTCCCCCACAGCCCTCCCTCATCCCCTTCTGGATTTTCCCTTCAGAGCAGTAGCCTGGCGGGGGAGGCACATCAGGAACTCCTGTCACAGGGACATCATCCCCACGATGCATAGGAATCACCTGTGGAGCTTTATGAAGACTGCGAACCCCCAGGTGACACCTTTGAAATGTTTTAGCAGCTGGTCGGGTCATATGCTTGCCCAGCCTGGCTGAGACTTCATAATGTGGGGCGGGGCAGACTCTCCCCAACTTCAATGCACAGGGAGGGTCTGCAGATCCTGTTAAAATGCAGAGCCTGACTCAGCAGGGGTGGGGTGGACCTGAGAGTCTGCATCTAACAAGCTCTCAGGTGATGCTGACCATACTGGACTGTGGAGCACACTTTCTATAGCAAGGCTGATGGTGACAAGTCAACCGAGAGGCCGACCGCCCCCCCCCCCCACCAAGTGTCGGCCTCTGCCGTGTTCTGGTCTGGGGTCTGTCAGCATGACACAGAGACCCTCGGATCTCCAAAATTGGTGATAATTTCTGTGGTGACATAGAAACCCAGATGGGTGCCCTAGGTCTTCCCATTGTTCTCAAATATCTGAGAAGGTTAAGGTTATAGATGACTCTGGAGGAGAGAAAGGGGTCAGCTGAGTGATGATGGTGAGGGGACCTGACCTCCACCTTAGAGTGGCACCAGCCTGGCATCTGTTTTCAGGGACAGAGATCCAGACCCGGCTGTCAGAAGAGCTGCAGTTCGCAGGTGAGAAGGAAAGGTTTCCTGTGTGTCCTGGGAAGAGAGGAACCTGGTGCTGGGGGGTGGGCTGACTGTGGGCTCCCTGGTCCTTGGAGGAAGTGTTTGGGGAGACCCTCCTGCTTCGTGTCTTGGCTCATAAACTGTCCATGTTCCTCCCTGCCATTAGAGGTAGCCCTGTCAGCCTGGCTGATTTTCCTGTGGTCACTGTGACCTTTCCCATGGGTGGTGCCAGGCGGGGATGGGCGCTGGCATGGCAGGGTGTCCTTAGGCCCCTAGAAGGAGCGTGGGGCACAGAGCAGGCACAACAGGAGGGGCCCCGAGGGTCTGTTTAGAGGGAAGGATGGATTTCAGGCTCCTTCTCCACCTCCTTCAGTTCAGTTCAGTCACTCAGTCATGTCCGACTCTGCGACCCCGTGGACTGCAGCACGCCAGGCCTCCCTGTCCATTACCAACTCCCAGAGTTTACTCAAACTCATGTCCATTGAGTTGGTGATGCCATCCAACCATCTCATCCTCTGTTGTCCCCTTTTCTTCCTGCCCTCAATCTTTCCCAGCATCAGGGTCTTTTCACATGAGTCAGTTCTTCGCATCGGGTGGCCAAAGTATTGGAGTTTCAGCTTCAGCATCAGTCCTTCCAATGAATATTCAGGACTGATTTCCTTTAGGATGGACTGGTTGGATCTCCTTGCAATCCAAGGGACTCGAGAGTCTTCTCCAACACCACAGTTTGAAAATATCAATTCTTCGGTGCTCAGCTTTCTTTATAGTCCAGCTCTCACATCCATACATGACTACTGGAAACACCATAACTTTGATGGACCTTTGTTGGCAAAGTAATGTCTCTGCCTCCTTAGCCAACGTGAAGTTCACCTGTTAATTTCTTGTATGTTCTCTGTCTGACCCGATGTCACCCCCTGGAGGTCATGAGCAGACCTGGGGCCAGTGTCCAGATGTACCAGGTGTGCAGACCAGGCTCCAAAGGGTGTGAGCCAGCCCTGAGCCCCGGGCAGAGGTGGGCTCTGACCCCCAGCCTGGGGCTGGTCAGCCGGGGTCCTGGTCACTGTGGGTCCCCAGGCTTCCTGACTCCATCCCAGCGCAGGCTGAGCTCAGGGACATGATGGGCGTTATCCACTGTGAGGAGAACCGTCCACCAGGTGGACGTGTGCTCAGGAGGAGCTCTCAGTCCCTGAGACTTCAAAGGAAGGGCCGGTGGGGGAGTCTCTGGGGCTATGGGGAGAGGGTGGCGGCCTGTGGGCTGGACCCCAGAAGGCCCTGTTCTTGCCCCTCTCACAGCACTGCGGCTGCCCTCAAGTCGTCTGTGTCCCCATCAGTGGTCTGTTCTTGGCCTCCCCACGGTGCCAGGACCTGGGGCAGCTTCACTTGGAGACTCCGTCACACAGGCTCCCCTGTTAGGGGATGGGAGACCCTCCTGGGACCCCAGCCTCTCTGAGATGGAGCAACTGCAGAAGCTGGGCTCGCCTCTTCCACGCTGCTCCGGAAGTTCTCCAACTTTCCCCAGATGCCTGGGGAGGCTGAGATGTCTTCAGGGTCCAGACCCAGGTGTCCCCACAGATCAGGGGCCTTGTGATGAGGAGCTGCTCTCCTTTTCCTGTGAGTTCACGCTCACAGGAGGCTCCCCCCTCCCTAGGGTGACTCCTGATGGGATGGAAGATTGGGAGTCTGAGCCAGGTCAGGTCTCCATGAGAAGGGGAAGGTCTCAAGCTGCTGGCCCAGGCCTTCCAGGGGGTCTACAAGATTCTTCCCCAGTAGAGATGGGAGGGGGTATGATTATCTCAGAATGAGCAAGAGTCTGACTCCTCACAGTTAAGAGGACCCTGTCCTCCCTGGGTCAGGAAGATTCCCTGGAGAAGGAAATGGCAACTCACACCAATATTCTTACCTGGAGAATCCCATGGACAGAGGAGCCTGGCAGGCTCCAGTCCATAGGGTCACAGAGAGTTGGACATGACTGAAGCGACTTAGCACTTAGCATGTCCTCTCTCCTGATTCCTGGAGGAATCGAGTCCTGTCATGGAGCAGCAGCCGTAGACACTTGCAGATCTCCTCCCAGGCTGATGCCAGTGCCCCTGTGTCCCCAGGAAATATTCTCTGACCTTTAGGTGTCACACTAGGGGTGGACCATTGTGTGGTATCCCTCATCCATTTTATGAGTTTTTATTGATCATCTATTACTGAGTGCACACATGCTTTTGAATATCTTGTCTGGCTTCCATTTCATCATTCCAGAGCAGAACCTTCTGTTCAGCGCTCCCCGTGGTCTCAAGTAAGTAACTGTTAGTTGCTCAGTTGTGCCTGACTCTTGGCAACCCCATTGACTACAGCCCACCAGGCTCCTCTGTCCATGGGATTCTCCAGCCAAGAATACTAGAGTGGGTTGTCATTTCCTTCTCCAGAGGATCTTCCCAATTTGGGGACTGAAACCGAGTTTCCTGCGTTGCAGGCAGATTCTTTACCATCTGAGCCACCAGGGGCTTAATGTGGAAGTCCCTTGCCCTGGCTCCGGCCCCTGCTCTCCCCGTTGGCTCTCAAAGAAGAGTGAGTCCTCATTATCACTCTGCCTCCCATCCCTGAGTTGCCCGAGGCCTCACACAGCCTCCCTGGCACAACAGTCTGGGTGCTCTTGAAGCCGAGTCGACCACAACCCAGAGCTTCAGCTGATTCTTCTAGTACTGGGGAGAAGGTCCAAGTGACGGCATCAGGCAGTTTGTAGGAACTTGCCTCCAAGGCTTGACGACCACCACTTGAGGGAACTGGTGGGTTCCTCCCAGTGGCATCTTGGCAGGGGGCGCAGATCAGGTGCTTGGGGTGTTCGGGTGCCCATGAGACCTGAGGGTAGAATCACTGCCTTCCAGTAGGATTAAGCTTCAGGAGTTTCCGATGTCCCTGGACAAGGCTGGAGGTGAAGCCTGTGGTTCTGGTGATGTTTTAGACTGAGCGACTAAAAGAGCCAGAGACCGACCGCCCTGGGCAACCGCAGGGCCCTGCATCCAGTAATTAGCTTCCCAGTGAATTCAGGGGCTTCGTGGCTGAAAGCCAGCTCAGGGGGACAGGTGGGGGTGGCTTCTCTGTTGTCCTGAGGACCAGGGCAACCTGAGCCTCAGCTTATCCTGCCACTGGTCACAGGCAGTTGGCTCTGGGAGACGGCCCAGGAGCAACCTCCAGTTTTTTATTTGACTTTAAATGGAAGTGAAAGTGAAAAGTGAAAATGTTAGTCAGTCAGTCGTGTCCAACTCTTTGCCACGCTATGGTCTGTAGCCCACCAGGCTCCTCTGTCCATGCGTTTCTCCAGGCAAGATTACTGGAGTGGGTTGCCATTCCCTTCTCCAGGGCATTTTCCTGACCCAGGAATCAAACCCACATCGCTTACATCTCTTGCATTCACAAGCAGGTTCTTTACCACTAGGGCAACAAGCAGCCATAAATTAACCCCCCCCCAAATATGCCTCCTGAACCCGAATGTGCCCTTTGTCCAAGGTGAGCCCCAGTCTCAACTCCCCAGGGTCCTCTTTGCGCCTCTTCTAGCACGATCAGTCCACTAGAGGGCACTCACGCTCCTCTTTTGCCATCACCTGAACCCAGTGCCCGTGTGTTCACTGCCACACCCACCAGCCCTCAATCCCTCTCTAGGTTTGCTCTGGACGA